GGCTTTCGTTCTTGCTTTAATCTCTGGCCAGCAAGCCGCTGATCAGTGTCGTCAAAAGATTCTGCGTCCACATCATAGACTCGATAATTTGAAGTTGCAGAGGGCGTTTTTTCCGGTGGATGATAGTAGCGGAGGGCCGTGCAAGCGAAGCCGCTTGAGGGCGGCCGGTCGGTACTGCGTACAGCAACAAAGTCAGTACTTCAGACTGACCCAACTGTGAAAAACTCGTCGTCTCGGTGGGATTCGAACCCACAACAGTAGGGGGAAGGCTTGAGTACAGCCAACGTTCTAGCCACCTGAGCTACGAGGTCCCACCAGGCTCACGTAATTCATAGATGTTTTGACAGATTTTGTACTCGTGCCTTCCCCTTGCTGTCCTGGGTTCGAATCCCACCCAGGCGCCGAGTTTTTCACAGTTGCGTCAATATGAATTATTCAAAATCAGCCAAAACGTAAGCCTGGTAGTCATCTGGTGGATTCTAGGTGGATTACTTAGGAAATCCTGGTCTGCCAGTCAGCTTACCGTATCAGATTTGGTGGATTCCAGACGTTGCAGTAGGCTGGTAGGTAACTTCACCAGATGTGATTAAACTCACGTCTTCGGGTGTGGCCTCGTAGCTGAGGTGGCTAGAGCGTTGGCTGTACTAACGCCTTCGCCTTGCTGCTGTGGGTTCGAATCCCACCGAGGCGTCGAGTTTTTCACAGCTAGGTCAATATGCGTTATTCAAATCTGTCGAAACATCTATGAAAGTTAGTATTGGCGTCAAGGTGGAAAGGATACCTAGCAGAGCAGATGGTGGCCAGTTGACCGCTGGGGGGATAATCTCCTCAACGGGATGGGCACATTGCAGCGGGGCCTAGACATTGCTGTAGGTGAGCTCTTCAAAAACTCTACTGTCTTTATCGGTAGAACATCCTGTGAGGATTCCAGAGGGGAATCCAAGGCAAAAAACCGCATACCTGAAATCAGGTCAGATTGTCGAGCGTCACCTCGATTTGATCCTCAATATCCACGCGACAGCTCGGATGGCAGAAAGCCTAGCGCAGTGGCCATCAGAACCAGGGTTTGTCTGATCTGGGACTCAGGCGGGGCTGGTTGAAGACGAAAGATAAGCCAGAAACTGCCAGTTCAGCCTCTCGTCCTTGCCAACAGTATTCGTAAGCCACAGTGACCTCTGCAAACCCTTCAACCAGAGCCAGCAACTCCTCTGCGCACATATCAGAGCAGAGTAGCCGCAACTGTGGAGGTGACTCGTCTACTGCCTTGTCATAGAGAAAACGCCCCTGAGCTGTGGCTGTGTACTACGCCCGCAGGACCGCGACTGAGAGCTGACAGGCAATGGCGCCCCAGGTGCCCGCCACCTCACGCCAGACTGTCGGGTGTGTTCCGGCGCCAGTCATGCTACCAACGGCGTATGCACGTGCCTACCTGGGCAGGCAGGCAGACACGTGAGCCCGCGGCGCGGGCTGGCGCTGCACGGCAAGCAAGCGCATCGGAGACGACGATCGATAAAAGGTGTCGCAAGTTTATGCAGGCTCGCGTTAGGCGTCCTTCGGGCGGAATCGAGAAGGAAACGCAGTTCCAAGTGAAAACACATTTGATCAGAAGAAGAAGAAGAAGAAGAAGAAGAAGAAGCGATCACTAGAAGAAGGTCTTTATTCGCCTGACGTTTCGGATTCTCACTTGAATCCATCATCAGAGACAGTAGCAGAAAAGGGTGACTCGTGCACAGGCCGAAATTCTCGTGAGAGGGGATAATCGTGTGAGCCGCGAATTGCTTGAGTCATTGTTCACGGGACCTCAATCTATAAACAAGTGCAACGACATGCCCACTCCATACTCCGTGCTGAAGCATAGGCTGGCCAAGGTAATTGACCACTCGGGGCGCGCGCAAGCCGGTGAGCCAGATGGCCGAGCAATCATTACGCCGGCATCCAACACGGGTAATGACATTTCGGTAATTAACAACTTACATGCCGGCCAGCAAGCAATTAGCGCACCAGCGGGCAACGATCCTTGATGAAGGGGAGCGCGGTTAATTGCTACAGGTATGCGGTAGCATAGCGACTGCATCCTATAAATACTGCAACTTCCTGTGCACGAGTCACCCTTTTCTGCCACTGTTTCTGATGATGGGTTCAAGGGAGAATCCGAAACGTCAGGCGAATAAAGACCTTGTCCCAGCGATCGCTTCTTCTTCTTCTTCTGATCAACTAGTTCCTGGAACTCGCATCTTCGCTTGTATCGGTGAAAACACATCTATCTACCCCGGAAATCTACCAACTCTGGCCTTCAGGAAACTCGTCCTGGAGTTGTACCGGGAAGGTCGGAGTGAATAACGTTCATTCAGTGCAGCTCGCATTCCCCAGCACCTTAGCTATGGTCTTCAGCTGGCTCTTCTTAACCAGGTAGGTAGAACGGAGGGGACTGCGCCAGGCGGCAGATACTCCTCATGCACACGTCGAACAATCGCTGATTTTTGCTCACACTGAGTCTATTTTCAATTTCCCTCAGGTCTAATGGTGAGAAAATATTGAAGATGGAGGCTGTAGGAGTCCAGAAAGCCGACTTACGTCTCGGTCCAAGAGCGCTAAGTGCGGCTGTCTGCGGTCTACGGAGGACATGACAGGACGCTAAAGGAAATATCAAGAAAGTGTTTCCAAACCGCAGCCGGTTGGGAAGCGGCCGCCATCCGCGTCTCCGAAACTGGCAAAACAACACCTTGACGATGGTGCCTGCAGCAGACGTTGTGGCGGAGCAAGGACCGCTGAGATGAACACACCAAGCACCGAAAAAGTCTATTGTTCTGAGATTTCGGACTTGTGCGTCAACAGAACAGGCGACAGTTGTACGGCGTGCTAGCTAATCATCGATCGATGGCTTCAGAGTGCAGATGACTGCTCAGGTCTCTGTGCCCCGGCGCCAGATCGATAAATCGACTGACTTAGTTCTCATCCGAGGTCCAGGCTTCAATTAATTTTCGGCCAGCTTTTCTTCTGGCGTGGGCGACTATTTTGGTGGCTGTCAAGTCAGACCAATGACCCGTTTCATAGATGTGGGCGGCCACTCATGATAATGCGTCGCCTCGTCGCGCTTATGTTCGTGTACGCGCGGTCCACGCATGCTATCGCTAGTGCTGTTGCTCTAACGATGGACTCCTACACGAGTTCGGAAGCTCAGAATAATAAACCGAATGTCCCCGTGCTCGACCACCCTTCCCCTTCACTTATAATTGCACCTGGATCTCCAATTTTCGCCTTTATTCATGCATACATGGAATATCCGGGCCTTCGTTGCGTCCCAGACACGAGCATACGCGGTACATCCAAACCCCAAGAAAATCGCCCGCCTGGGGTCGGTGTTAAACTGCCTAGGGATCTGCGAGAGACAACGTCCACAGCTGACATCGCCTATAGAAAGTGGGGGATTGTTGACTCCACGGGACGATCACCAGCTTCCATTGCCATAATTAATCACTCAGTTTACAGAAATCCCACCAACGGGCAGACTGCCAGTTCACCTACTCCTGCAGCTACAACAGAGACAGCAGACTGATCGCTCGGTGTAACAGTTGTCAAGCTTAGATCCGTGCGCGCACTCCTCCCCCCTGCCAACCACTTCGCTTAACCGTCTACCCCAGTCCCCGGTTGGATCCGTCTTGCGTGCCCAACACCCCCCAGATTACCGCCACGCGTGCAAGTGGTATAGATAGACAAATAGTTCTTACTTGAATGCCTGAAAAGGCATTTCCATCCAATAAACAACCTGCTAGGAGAGGAAATGCGCTGTAACCAGGCTGTGTCACAAGATCAGGAGTTTACACGCTATGAGGTGCGTGGTCCTACCAGCTTTACCAGCGCGCAGCCAATTCCCCGTTGACTTGGTTGAAATACGACTGGTTCACGTGATTTGACCAGATCTACCGACACTGGCACGGAAAGTTGGTCCACTGAGCCAAAACATGTTTGAAGAAATCAAGAAAGACAACTGAGCTGATTTGGACAAGTCCTTCGTCGTCGCCGCCTCATGAGTTCAGTGCTGCTGTTCCCGATCCGGAGCCGTTGAAGGGATCAACAGAAATTTGGCTCGACACAGATCGTCATGACATGAAAGAAGCCTGTATTTGGCTTCTGTTGTTGGAGCAAAGAATGGGTCGAGCTCTCCAGATCCGCTGGTGCAGATCGCTACGCATGGAGAGGTACAATTCGCGGCACCATGGAGGCCAGCTAGATCAGACATGGTCCTTGCTGCACCAAGTACCCCCCCCCCCCCCCCACCGTTAGGTAATATTTTATTGTTTTAGTAACCGGCTTTCCAAGGCGCCCAACTCCCACTAGTGGCGTCGTTTGTCTCCTTACACAGAGGCTGTAATAACCGTGACACCCCTGAGGTTCAATTCTTTGAAGATGTTGAAAATGCTGTCGAAGCGGTTAATGCATATACAAACAAGGGAACACATATCACAAGTAGCAACGCATGTATTCTGTTTCTTGAGAGAAGAATAAAGGAAAAAAGATGTCCAACGTTTCCGGACAGGGGAGATAGGGAAGGGGACTAGGACAAGTCTTCCGTGGTAGTAAAGTATAAACCCTAGAACCGTTTATAGACAAGTGGGGAGATGAGGTAACTACAAAAGAGGCAAGTAACAGGCAGGTAAACACGGAGAGGCAGCTCATCGGAAGACGGGAGTAGAGGAGCCGGAGACGAGGGGACAGCAGCAGTGGTTGCAGAGGATGCCCACTTAAGAGTAGGCCTTCATCCTATTCATGATGCTGCGGACGATCTCCTGAACGGGTTTCACCTGACCATAGTACTCTACAAACTCGCCCCTGGGATTTATCAGGTACATGACGACCGTGTGGTCCACCTAGGCAGGAGGTGAGACGGAGGGGAAGGAGGTAAAAAGGTGATCGTCTTCAAGCCAGCCGGTGCATAAATCAGTGCAGGCAGGTGGAAGTTCCATGTGACGGAAACTGCAAACTGTCATCTACGCCTGCTCTGTTTGCATGGTACATTTCTTGAGTACAGGAAACCTGATCAGGCGTGGCATGACACTGTGTCAGCTAACATGCAAGTGGTCGGTTAGAAAGCACACAGAATCGCGTGAACGCCGCTGCAGGAGAATCATAGTGCCTCATTTGCCAAGGGGGAAACTGGCGACGGAGAAAACCACTGCTCTGGATGCATTAACACTCTCGTAAAATCCACCTCAATCGCGCACTATGCGGTATATTTCGATGGCATGGGGAAGTCATAACAACCGGGGATGGGTGTGGACGTAGTGTCACGCACGACAGTTTGACCGTCGCTGCCGTTTATATCCACCGTGTGCTCCACAACAGGGTGAGAGCAGGGACGGTGACTTGTGCGTGATTTAGTTTATAGTGAGAGTAGACTTGCGAAGCACCTACTGCACTATCTCCTCCTTCCCATTTGGACCCGGTGTCAAGAAGACCGGAGACGGGAGAGGACGCAGGTAGCTGGCACGGTGTAAACCCGCACCTAGGCGTACCACCACACGCCCTAGTCCACAACGAACACTGACCGGGACATTACACATGAGGGGAGAGGCGGTTCGGATCCGATTAGGTGAGAGTACCACAGAGGCACGCACAACAGCCCAAGGTCAAAGACAGTCCCTAATCACTCATCAAGGAGTCACAACAAAGGTCATAAAAGGAACGCGTCATTGCAGCCAGACCATTAGTTTAGACGCAGACCGAGTAATCCCACTAGTTGATCGTTGACGCGTTATGGTGGTTTGAAATCTAGGCAGATTTTTTGCGATGAGAAAAGTACGCGTTGAACCGCCCTCACTCTCCCAACATGTGCTGGTGGCTGGTTCGGGTCAGGCGGACGGGATTGAAGCCTGGCTGAAGTGGCTTAAGGCCTTCTTCTCATTCGAGCTTGTGCGACCCTATTTCGGCCTGCCGCAACACCGCAGCCCATTTTGTGGCGCGCATCTGTCATCTGTGCTGGACGTACGCTGAGACAATTTTTCGGTCAGCGGCCCTAACCGACTGGCTCACATGCCGCCCTAACGATCCCGCCCCCACGCCCACCGCGTGCTGATATCGCCCCGGGCTCTAGACAGGGCCAGTAAAGTAAGTAAGAAGTCCGGCCGGCATGCTAACCACTCAAGGACAGCACCTGATTGGTCCAATTTCAATCCGACATTGGGCATTACCAGGCGTCCCCGTTAGTGCCTTCTAGACACTGTTAGGATGCATCAATACGCTTCTTTTCTTCCGCTCTCGCTGTTGAGCTCTGATTTGGGGATTCCATCGAGGTTTACGGCAAGCTCACAACATCCCGGTCAAGTCTAAAGGGTCTTTTGCAACAGGAACTTAAGACTGGCATATTCGCCTCTACTTGTAAAATCATGGAAGCAATCGTCTTGTGGAGGGCGCCGCTCTAGAATAGACATGTGGCCGGTAAAAACTACTCCAAGGTTTCGTTGGCTGGGCCCAACTCGGAGGCCCTGAGCGATCTATGACAAGTCTAGTAAGAATATTCACGCCTACATCAGTTGTGTCCTTTCCTGAAAAAAAAAACAGCGGCATCTCAAGCCGCTGGACCGCTCTTGCCCATTTCGGGTCCCTACGGCGTGTGAGAACGAATAGATTTCACGATGAGGGCTGCTTAGCAGCCAGAAGTGCATCGAATTAGCTGGAGTTAGAAGATCAATTGCCACAGGTCATTCGCTGGCGGTTACCTTCGCCGTCTGACTTCAATCCACACTGCCGCGAGACCCGACGGGGTGACTTTGTATAGAAACAGCGAACTGAACAGACGTGTGCGGCAGTTCGTAACCAGTCAGGATGAGTAAACAACACACCTTACGTGATAAAAATAGACCCAATCGCGGCTAACAGAGCAAGAACCTGCAGCTCATTCCCTCAGTTCGGCTAGCGACAACTGGTTTGGGTTAACAGTCTGGGTCTTCTAGATGTGACGACCAAAAGGTAGAAATTGATCACTCCAGTATCTCTGCACTTTCAACGTTTTACCAAAATCGGATGGACAAAAGTGGACTTGCCAGCAGACCAATGGACTGAGTTTGAAAATCATGGACTAAAAAGGGAGACTAAAGGAGGTAACGCAATTTAAACTCACTATATAGTCTCCGTCGGAATCCTTGGGACCTTCACTGTGATATATGCGGTAGCGTTTCGCCACAATGTTGATCTGTTCACGAGAGCCAGTGAGACCAACCAGTTTAGGCGAGAACTCTTTAAAAGGGAAAAGGGAATTCGTTCAGTGCTCGAGATAGCAAACACAGCAACAGCAAAAGGGGAGATTTTTCAACTAAATCCGTGGCTGAAAGCGGAGGACAGTTTTTACTCGGCTATGTGTATTTCTGCCTGTCAACAGAACGCGAGAACAACCATTAAAACCAGGCGATTCGCGGAGTTGAGGAGATCGATCAGGTAAACAAACTGGTTGCTCATCAAACAAAGTTTTAAAGATCCATCTTCTGTATCAGTGACTTAATCCACAGCGAAAGGGCAATTATTTCATGTAAAGAAGAAACTGTCTGAAAATTTGCTATGGAAGCCACCACCACTAATTTTGAATTCATCTGTGCCCAGCGTGTCTCAAAATTTGAGTTATGCTCACATAATGTCTACCAGCACTACAGACCCCCCCATGTGACCGGAGGCGTTGTCCACTGCACGGTGCGCCCCAAAACTTCGCAGCAAACTTCGTGCAAAAAGTACTCACACGTTGATTCCCCTGCTTGCCGCTTTTACTACCAACGACCCGGTGAACGTCCCGCCGATTGCTAATTCAACTGCGCTGTGTGTGCTGCTATCCGTGTCTGTTTCGGTGCGTACCTACAATGGGCCATGCGGTGGATGCACTGGACCAACAGGGAGGCCAGATCAGGGTCCAGCACGCGTTGTGGTGCGCCTAGGTGCAGGTTCACGCCGCGCCGGCCACCTGCGACCGATCTTGCCTCCGATCCGTCGTGGAACCTGACCCAGGTGGGGGAGGGAAGGGGGAGAGTGCGGTAGGTGCAGAGCAAGTCACCTTCCATGCGTCCACCATGTTGACAGCGTCGGTAGCGAGTCCAATTTTCGATCCATTTCGGTCGGCTAAGGGAATGCTACTGTAGGCCAGGCTTAGCAACCGGTTTAATGGCCTTTGGCTTGCCGACGGCGACCGATATTTCGCTCTTAAACGATTGGCCGCAGACTTGCACTTCCCAGGCGCACGCCCACAAATCGGGCCGGCCAACGAAACACCAATGGCCGGCTTCGGTTTGGCTGAACGTTTGATGCGCTAACTATCGAGCCGCATGCACACACTCCCAGCCGCAGTAAAGACTGCCAAAATAAGTCCGCATCCCTCCCGGCTTTTGGTGCAGGAGACTACACCCTTGTCGACCGGTCGTACCTGGACAGACTCGCCCATTACCACGAAGATTCATACGTTATTAGAGCAGTCCTTGTGAACAGTTGTAACGACTGTAGGTTGTGTGCGCGGATGATGATGGAAAGCTGGTGTGCGAAAGCAGCCAAAGGCACGCCCAATGTTTGGCGTATGAATAGCCGAGAACGCCAAATGACCACGAACCAACCAGACAGTGTTCTCTTGCGTTTGGTAGAAATCTTTCAATGCACGGCGACAGAGACCGAATGTCCCTTACCAGTTAACTGTTAGCGTCCCGTGTGACTTAGCCTTGGGCTTGCCAACACTATCCTGTCAATCGATATTTTGGTTTTTATTAATTGGCCGCAGCTGAACATGACCCACACTCATGCTCACACCTCACTCTCAGTGCGGTAGAATAACTACTGGCATTGATTTCTAAGCTGGTCACACGTGCTCCGTCAGAGTGAGGGATTAACCGGAATTACCCTAAATATACTACTAACCTGGTAATCTTATCTCCCTGGGTTTCGACTAGAGAAACTTATCGTTGAGGAGAAGTAGGTGCGACCGCTGGAACAAGCGCTTTATTGGCCTGAGGTTTCGGACTCACGTTCCAACCCATTATCAGAGACAGTATCATATGCGGGTAGTTCATACACAGGAAGCTGTACTATCTATAGGATGCAGTCGCCATGCCACCGTGTGCCTATGCTCTCCCCTTTGTCGAGGGCGGTTGTCCGCCAGCTGCATGATGGCCGGCATGCAAGTCGCTAATTGCCGAAATCTCATCACCTGTGTTGAATGCTGGCATGATTATTGTTAGGCCACCTGGCTTACTGGCCTATGGCTTCCTTGAGTGGCTACTCACTTTGACTGAATTTAGTCTCAGCACCGGTTTTATGACCCCCTAAGGTGCACAAAGTGGGCGCTCCTCTCCAGCCCATTGCTCCAAGGTATTCCAACATACGGACTGGCAAAGTGGCTATTTCAACGTCTCGAGCTTCTGACAGCTGATTCGCACACCACGATCTGTCCTTGAACACAATTCTTGGAGAAGCTTAAAGGGGTAAGTCTCTTGCCAAATAAGGTCATGGTGGCTTTTGATGTCACGTCATTCTACACCCCAGGATCACGCAGTGGAGACCATCGAACTACTTTTACAACGCAAATACCATGAAACAGAGAATCGCATCGGACACGCCCAAGTCCTTCAGCTTCTGAAGTTCTGTCTCAGGAAGCACTTCGCGTTTGACGAGCAATTTATGAGCAGATGAAGGGAACACTAAGGGGTTCGCCGATTTTGAGGCCCATACCTGGTACGACAGCCGCACAACTGTTAGACTGCCTGGTCTTGCAACACTACAGACCGAAATTATGGGTTCGGTTTGTGGATGCCTTCGTCGTAATGAGACGTGTCCCCCCAAAATGGGCCACGCCATAGATGCACTGGACCAACACGGAGGCCACATTGGATTCTGGCAGGCGTTATTGGAATGCGCACCATAACAGATGCCAATATTCGGGGTGTGGTGGCTGGCCTGGTTGTCGGCTGACGTTCCGCACATCTGGATGCCTACCGCTCTCCACTTTTCGTTGGTTAAAGTCTTGGTCAATTGTTGTGTGGACCAGGGGGTGTGGAGCAGAACGCCAAGGTGCGGGCTCGGTCGCGCCATCCACGTGTGCCCCCCACCGCCCCCGGTCTTCTTGACTCTGTCCTGACATCGGGTCCGGGTGGGGGAGGATGAGCGAGCGCGGTAGGTGCTGCGCAAGTCTATACTCACTATAAAGTGGCTCACACGCAAGTAACCGTGCCTGCTCTCAGCCCGCTGTGGAACACACGGTGGACATCGTCGGGCACGACGGTCGAACTGTCATTCTCGGACGCGATCAGCTACTAACGCACAAAGGACGTCTCAACAGCGTCTCCCCGGGCATACAATTTACGATGGAAGAGGAAGAAAACAACCCGCTGGCCTTTTTTGATGTCTCCGTCTGCCGTAAAGATTGTAGTGAGCTAACGACAAAAGCGTTTGGGAAAGCGACAAACACCGAACCGAACTTCAACAACAACAACCACTTAATCAGTCTCAAACGCAGTGAACTGGAAGATAGGGTTCCCGAATTTAAATACCTTCGACAGATGTTCAGAAAAAGTGGCTTCCCGCGTAACTTCGTCAAACGGTGCATGCGCGAGCACGACGGACGACAAAATCGCACCGACCAAAGATGTTGCAGGGCGATTCCGTACGTCAAGAACGTCTTGGAGGCCACCAGTGGTAGAATAATTGCTGGGTTTGGGTTGTGAGCTGGTTTTACGTGTCCCATCGGGGTAGGCGATTATCCCAGTAAATCTGTCTCTCTGACTTTTGGCCAGGGAGAATTCTCCTTCTTGACCATCGCGCCTCGACAGCTCCACTTCCTCCGCTTCGGGACAATGGGCAAACCGGCGAGTTCCTGGAAGTAGTCGCGGAGGAGACACGATCGATGGAACAAGTGCTTTATTGGCCTGACGTTTCGGGTTCTCACTCGAATCCGAATCAACTATGTCGGAGAAACCGGAAGACTATTCCGGATGCAGTTGGAAGAGCACGTGGTAGCAGTGAGGAGGGACGACGCCAACTCCCA